CTCCTGCATTAAAGGGTCACAACAAAAACAGGTTGAAATAAAAAAAAAAATAATCTCAAAATCTTCCTAAACGCAGTTATTTTCTAAAATGGACAGTTTAATGTTGATAATTTTAACATTTCACTAACATTTTGTTAAATTTCAAATTAACAAAATTACTATGTGGAAAACTGCATTATACCCAGCTGCAATATCACCACTGAAATGTTCAGCCCAGTAATATTAAAGGTATACTTTGCTATTTTGAGTCAAATATGGCATTTTCCTGACCTGCTGCTGTTAATCATTTCAAGCATATGTTTACATGGCTGTTTTTGCCAACCCACTTTCAGCTGTCACCAGCCCCCACAGAAAATAATAATAAACACTGAGTACACCCACACAGAAATAACTGAGAACAGGTTAGATGCATAGAGAGGTCTGGAAGCTCTGAGAACATAAATCATACAGCCTTCCTAATTTTTCGTCATACAACTCATACTTTGACGCAACAAAAACATACAGTATTGATTTTCAGGTGCAAATTTTATTGTGGATCATAACAAAGGTTTCAGAAAAAGCACAGCAAAAAATCAACAATTGAGTGTCTCTTACTTACAGAATACATAAAGTAAGATTCTGTGAAAGCCACTAACTGCAACTGAAGGCAATGCAGCTTAATTTAACCAGAAAAAGCACAGCAAAAAATCAACAATAGAGTGTCTCTTACTTACAGAATACATAAAATAAGATTCTGTGAAAGCCACTAACTCTGCAACTGAAGGCAATGCAGCTTAATTTAAACTAACCCTTATTTTCAGATACACATGTTAAGAAGCACATTTTGCAAATATTTGTTTTTCTTAATTTGTTTGATATTGAACTTGAGAACCAAATATTTCAATGACACTAATGTTGTTGCAGAGTGTGTAGTATTAAACTGTTAGACAGAACAGAAAATGTCATTATTGCAAAAAGAAATAGTCACACAGAAAATATTGTCAGAATACATAAAATTAGCCCTAGTAAATGTTAAATGACTCAAAACCTCTTTGGAGAATCTTTGGATGCTGAGGTATTTTGGAATTTTGGTGCTGCTATCTCTATTTTTCAGGTGATACATCAAAACAAAATAGAATCATAGAATAGTTTAGGTTGGAAGGGACCTTAAAGATCATCTAGTTCCAAGTCCCCTGCCACAGGCAGGGACACATACCTTACTTTAAACTAATTATAACTTTCTACAAAGGACTTCTTCAGCCTTTAACTTTAAAGAGAAAACCCACACTAATTCTTAGAGTAAAATGACAAAAGTCTGTTAGGTAACAGTGCAGAAAATCTTGCAAGAGGTCTTCAAGGCACTGTTCTCTCTTTGGGTGCTTGGCACACAGGCCATTCACGAAGGCTGTTTTGATAGGAAGACATGAATAACAAAAGCTAGACCTAAAGCTAGTATCTAGTATATTAAATATCATATATATTTTTCTCCAGTGAAATAAAACCCATTACTTTTAAAAGCTATTCTGCTTTACAACACTGTGGCTTGCAGTAAGGTGTCTGCTAAATTAATCTGAAACATGAATTTAAAAGCATACTTTAAGAAAATAAGAACAAAAGTCAACCAAGTAGCATTTACCTAAACCAATATAGTCTACCTGAATGTAAACCATTCCCAAGTACTGTAACCCTCTGTAAAACAGAAAGGATCAAATGCTCTGTTGATTTAATGCCACTGGTTTAGATGGAGATATCAGCATCTTGGTCCACAGTCAAATGAAGCCGATTAGGACCTTATCCAGCACTTGCCAGTCTACTTGAATTCCTGAACTATGTAGCTGCATGGGCTGCTGCCCCCTATGACAGGAAGATCTCTACTGACTGAGAAATGTAAAGAACTAGCTGTTCTGCAGTCAGCTTATTAAACAAGAAATTTGGTGCCTCTGTATTCCATAGAAAATATAGACCAATCCAATTCTGGACTTTATGTGTGTGTCTCAGGTAAAATTATGCAAAGATTCCTTCAACACCTTTTTTCTAGGGCCTGTTCTGCATGGCAACTAAATGCCAGTCAGATGGGAAAGAAATCTCAAAGGAGTTACCTCAAGATACTAGGATTTCAGATAATTATTTTGACAACATCTTTTTGACATACTATTAAGAATCTGTAACTCCTCTTTGAAAAAAATAACAGTTTTGTGTGGTTGACAGGCATGCCAGGATCCATCAATAGGGAAAGGATGACTACCTCCAACCACAAAACAAATCTGGTCACCCTACTGCTAGATGCAATGGGTGGATTAGAAGTCAGAGAAGCACTGAAAACTCTGTTCTTTTGGCAGTTTCATAATGTCCCAGCAGCAGAAATGTTTACTGTTTGTTTGTTACTCAAGGCAGACTAATAATCTGCCAGTTTTTGGTGGATTCAGCTACCTGTGGTCCTTCACGTGACAGAGCCCAACAAACAAGCACATTGGTCTGGTGGATGAGATCCAAATACCACAAGATCTTAAGGCAGTGGCTTGGATTCATAGTACCTGGCTTTAGAAACCTAGCCAAAGTGCTGATAGCAGCCTTGAGATCAGAGGCTCCCTCTGGGACCAAAAGAGAAACTGGCCTCTCCAGGTGGCTGTTCATACCTTTCATGGGCTAAATCCATAGATTTGAATCTATTTAATCATTTAAAGTAATTATAAATAAAACTAGGATTGATCTAAAACTTAAACAACTTCTATCTTAATATAAACAGGAAAATTCTGCATTCAGCTGTACATCAGCACACAGCACTATGTATTAAGAATAAAGGTATCATAGGTGTCAGCAGAATTTGGCACAGCTAACTTAACATTTCACTTCCCTGGAGGAAGGTGCTGGCTTATACTGACTGCTGAAGAGCAAACTGTCTACAGTAGTATTCTATATTTCTATAATATTCTGTATAAAAGCAATAAATATTAGATATAATCTGTATATTAGATTTCATAGTTATCTGATAGCTATTTAAATCTACACTGTCAAAAATATAAGCAGTGATCCACTCCTACATGGCAGCATATACTTTTTTGTGCATATGTTAAAACTATCACATGGGTCTGTTTTTACACATGAACATAGGACACTTTTGTTTATATAGCAGATTTTAATTTACATAAATTCTTACCATAGGATAGATAATTGTGTAAAGGTTGGATATTGTTTAAATGTTTCTATGGTTCTGCATAATTGCCTTTCAGCATAAAGATTTCATCATTCTTTCTCAGTTTTATGTTTTTTAAGGATGGAAGATGCCGTCTGACAGAATTCAAAATCTCCAATAACATATACCAATATAGCACAGAAATACTTATTTTCTAGTCCAGGTAAAAAACAGTTTCACTATTCCTAACCGTTCTCCTTTACATTTATAAATCTCCTCTTTAAAGAAAGTGCACTCCCAAAAACAAGGGCAATCAAAATGTTTTGGCATTACTGAGATGTAAAAGAGTATTCAACTGAGCATGATCTGCAGAAAAACCATCATACATTTTTTAATTAATTACAATTCATTAATAAAAACAATTACAATTACTGCAATCTAAGTGTGCAAATGAAAAACTTACATGTGAAACACTAAAATAAGCTGAAATGGCTGCTGGTATATACGTGAGAAGTTCTGTCTCAGTTTGCTCAAAAAAGGCTTTGCTAATTCTTATCATTTAGCTTCTCAGATATCAAAGGTTTAATGAAAACATGTTCATTTTCACCAAGCTCAAAATGTCCAGTTATTTACCTGTGTAAAAGGCAAATAATTGTTATTTTCTGCACCCCTAGTTTCAGAAACTCAGTTAAAAATATAGAGGTAAAAATATTTTAATAAAGACATTTAGAATGCTTATAACAATCAGATAAAAATTTCTGAGTTCAGAAAACATCCACGTACTGTCCTCTGAATTAAATATTGACATTCCTTTGTAAAAGTTGATACTTTCTTCTCAGAGTAATAATTTCTGTGGCCCCCAGCAGAATTTAGTATCATCCTGTTATTAAACATCAGTTAGTGTTCAAAGACAGAACACAACTGCTTGTCTTCCCTTTGCTGAAGTTGCACTGGAAAACTCTACATAAAAAAAAAACAAACTGGAAAACTGAAAAACATGTAATGCTTTATATACTAAGTAACATATAGCTGGTATAGACTGTTCTTGCCAGCGTTGCATCTCTTCAGATGAACAGACTCAAGAGCTGACAGATTGCTTTCCCTTTCACCTATACCAATTCTGCCACAATTGGATGACTATTAACAAGTCTCTTCCTGCATTAAGCAGGCCAAAGATTTCTAAACAGTCGCCCAGTAATTTCTGCCTAAAGACTTTTTTCCTCACTGTGTAACCCAGGATCCCAAGAATCTGTGGTTGCATCGGAACACTTCTTTTAGAAAGGTCTCTAATACTAATATCAAGACTTCTAGCTAATTACATTTACTTTTCAACTTACGCTAGTGCAGTTTTTGATGATTAACAGTTGTGTCAGGCAGTGCCTATCAGCTTCTTCATGGAAACATAAACTGGTGCTTGATATCAAGTGTAAGTGAAGAATCAACTCCCATTTCCCTTTTGTGTCCTTGTTAAAGCTAAAACCAAACAGGTAACAGCTTACACTTGGTTATGATTAGAAAAAAGTTCTCTTTATAGCCATGTAAAATGACTAAAGAATCTTACACCATAACAGAGAATATGCAGATGGGAGTAGTTTTGCCCTAAACACAGTGCTTTTGTATCTGAAAGGCTACAGGAATGTTTCTGGAAAATAAATCTTTTTTTTTTTTTTTTTTTTTTTTTTAAACTTTTTTCACAAAAAAAAAAAAAAAAAAAAAAAAAAAAAAAAAAAAAGTTCTAGGAAAAATATTAAACCCCATCTCTCACTCATGCAGCACATCTCTTGTCAAGATCACTGTATGATATGAGCAGTTAGAATCTGATAAATTTGTGTTTGTCCAAAGGTTGGCTTTGGCTCAGTTGCCTTTTCTTTCCTACTCCCAAAAAATCTTTTTTTTTTTTTTTTTTTTGGTGTTAGACATTATGCAGCAAAATACCTTCCTCATAAAATCAAACAAAGGGACATATTCTAAATCCTATTTAGCAATAAATCTGGTATCCCATACTAAAACTACTAAAAGAAAAACAAGCCATTCTTTTACTTTCTAATACTATGTAATAATACAAATATTATAGGGAAACAGTATTATACAGGTGTGTTTTCCTGAAATGTGTACTTTGCAAAAAAGATCCCTTCCTTGAACAAAATCAAGTGACAAGCTGCAAAATCTGCTTATGTGGAATGCTCATTAACACATATTTAAAGCAGAGTATCATATTATAGTTAAGTATGAAGGAATGAGTAGCCACTTCAGTTTGTACCCATAAAATTTAAGCCAAACAGCACTGGAAATATAAATTAATCAGGTTAAGTGCTTGAGAAAGTCTCTTCTTTTTAGCTGTGAACAAGGGTATTTAACCATTTCTCCCCATGAACATTTCTCATAATTAGAATGCAACCATCTTATCACGGATAGAAAATCCCCAGATTAGAAAATATACATGTAAAAATATTTAAATAGATACTCAGTGCTGAATCTTCCTATGATTGGCTTCAAAGACCGATTTGAATTAAAGTTACTAAATGTTTTTTTCATTCTTGTTTCACTTACTACAAAGCAGTGTGAGGACAGTTACTATTGAGACATGAATTTTCACAGAATATACTCAAATACCTTCTTCCAAACCTTTTTCTTCATAATTTATATTAGTTTTAAATCTACTACGAAAATAGTAGTGCAAGAATAATCAATTAGAAGATCTTCAGATAAATGGTTTAGTTCCTTTTAGGATAAAGATGCAGAGAAATATTGATGAAAAATATGCTAGTTATGATGCTTGCTTTGTTAGCACTCCTTTATGTCCCGAATCAACTCTTCACTCCACATTCCTGTATTTGGTAAACAAATTGTACAGTACTCTCAGTGTAGACTTCAAGTCACAATTTACAATATCTAGAAAAAAAAGACAAGGGAAAAAAACATTAGTAACTTCATTAGCTCAAAACATTTTCAGCAAAAGTACCTAAAAAGTGCCTAAAACTACCTTTCCTTGCTCAGCTCCGCATCCATGAACATTCGAATCAGAAAGATAGTAAGAAAGAACAGAAATATAATAAAGCACATTTTTTTAAATGGCAACTCAAAAATCATTATTCCAACCACTTTTAGTTAGGGATATAAATGGCTAATGGTGCTGATGTAGAAACACAACCAAGGTTTAGATGACCATGAGACAAATTGTGCCTAGGATTCCGTGTGTTTATATGACTGAAACTTCAGTCCGTTGTGGCTGAAAAGGAATGATTTTGAAAAAAATCATCAGGCAGGAACCAATGGAATTCTCCTTTTACATAAGAATTGCAGGCCTTGGCCCATTCTGGGCTAAAATATCCTTTATTAGGCCTAATTTCAGCAAGATAGCTAGGGACAAGTTTAATTTTTCTAAAGGATCTAAAGAAGCTATGTGTAAAAGTGCCCCTTGAAGACATTTCTGAAAATGCTTTGGGTTAGCTGATCTACATGGCTGAATCAGTCCTTAGAAACTCAACATCTAAAGTAAAGGATTTATATGAAACCAAAAACTAATGAATACCTGCTGTTTCCAAGAGGAGTTGTTGAGAAAGTCAATATTATTTCACAAGAAATCTATAAAACAAACTGACAAGTACTACCGCAGCAGTGTAAGCTAGTGCTTCAAGGAATATTCAGTCTCAAACAGGGACTTAGAATTGCCCTCAGAAAGAAAAGAGTAAGAATAAGAATTATCCTATGTCTTTCTGCTGACTGTATAGCAACTCAATCTCCTAACTTTGGTTCTTGGAGTTGGCCGTGAAGGTGTAAAGCAGATGGTGTACATATTCCCATTATTTTCAAAACTTCCAAGTAAGCCTAGTAAATTTTGTATTTAATCATCAGATAGTTTTGCCATTATATTTATCTACATTGATGTTACTCACAGATTGTGAAGGGGTTATACTTTGAAGAATGAATCCAATCAAACCCATGCATGGTGTCCCAAAGTATGCAAAATTTGAAGGGCTAAAGACACAAGCTACATGGCAAACTGACTTCCATGGACAAAGGGTGAAAATCCTCAAACTTTGATTTTATGCTAAGCCTATGCATGGTCATGAAACCATGGCCACATGATTTTGTGGCTCTTAATAAATCAGATAAAAAATGTTGGTTATAAGGTGAAGAGAAAATCCCAAAAAGCGACAGGAAGGGCACATTGCTCCCACAACATCATGTTATACCCTGCAGTACTGTTTGCATATAACTCAGGAAGTTTCCTCTTCTAGACCAGCAGCAAGCTGCATAACATCTTCATTTCCTAATACAGAACCTCAAATGAATAAAGAGATAATTTGACAGGTCTCTGCAAAGTTACCAGAAGACTCTATCACCATCACAAAAGAATTCCACAGAAAGGTCCAAACTAAAAAGCACACTCCCAGAGAAAGATGACTTTTTTCCATTGCTACATGTGTTTGACCAACATGTATAACATTTTACTGGTTGCAGTTTTCAAAAAGAGAAACTTGAGTTTGGCTTTGATTTACAAATTTCAAGAAGTAATCTGAAAAAGCTCAAACTGCAAATGAATTCGTTATAGACTCAGTAGATTAACGATCCAGCCATTTTTAAAGTAAAAGGTCACAGAAAGCTTTTTAATACCTTTTCAATTATATTGCAAATAACCCAAATAAACTGTTGACCCCATAAAAATCATTGGTTTTCATACTCATTTATTTAACCACATTCTTTTTTCCACTAAATATGTTTTTCATATTCTAAAGCACTTTTCAGCATATTTTTTCCTCAAGAACGTCAAAGAAACAGTGTAGGAATTTAAAGAGTATTTAGTATACACATTTAGGGTAAGATCCTTTTCAATACTCTTTTGCTCACTGGAAATTTTAAGTACGGGCATTGTGCCCAATGTAACAACACATAAAACAGATGTGTTTTTCCATTCACATTGGGCAGGAAGTTTCATATTAAGCATTTCAATAATTGCACAAGAAATGTCTTATATATGCTGAAATATCCTTATGGCTTGATTTATACTGGAAAAATTAGCTGTCCCCTAGAGCAATAAATACCTGAAAAATTAAATGCCATAAGAATTTTAAACCTCCACAGGGACTAAGGGATCACAGATACTCTCTGTTTTACTTGGATCCCTAGATTTCACTATTTCCCCCTTCTCTCTTTGACTACTTCAAACATAAAAGGTTCTGATACAGTCACCACTGGTTAAGCATGATTGTGGAGAAGAGTTCAAGCAATCAAAAGAAGTGAAAAATAGGCTGGGTAGGTCAAGATTAAATGCGTAGGTAGGATAGGCTCAATCCTGAGACATTTGTGTGCGTGTGTGTGTGTGTGTATGTCTGCTGCTGTTATGATGTGGAGGTTGGGAGGGATGGAAAATAAGCAGAATGGAGCAGAACTTGATTCAGTGATGTGTGCCTGAATCTCCAGAGAGCCCTTACTATTATAAGTAAAACTCTGAGTATTAGCTTCTATCAACTCCTGAGGGAATGACAATCCAGTATTACGGCAGGGAAAGACTGCATGCACCACAGAATGGGAATCTGCAATGGATCTTGAAAACACATGTCGGGTTCTCACACATGTATATTGATGATTATGGTAGGTAGCCAGCAGAAGCCCAGAAGCCTCAGTTGAGAAGAATAGAGCAGAAGATGCACGTCCAGCTCCTGCATGGTAAGAGGTGGTAACTTCTCATGGGAGGAACCACAACAGTACCCTATAACATGGTGAATCAAGGGCCCTGTATCCAGCCCAAAAAGCTGCATTTAAACTCTGTATTTATATGAGCAAAGAGGACCGGAATCCTGGTCCTGCTGAAGTTAGCAGGAAAACCTTCATCTTCCCTGAAGATACATTTACTTTCAGTCACCAGCTCTAAATCTAATTTAAATATGCTTGATTAGGTCCTGCATTCAAAGGCAGTTATGTGAACCTTGGAAATTCTTCTTCCACAACATCTACCTCTTGTGAAAATCTTGTAAATTACACTGGAATACTTGAGGTTTAGTATGAAGATATGGAATCAGGGAAAATGGAGCAGTTGGAGCAATTAATATCTGCCAGTGACACCATTCACAATTGTATTCTTCTTCTTTCAGTGAATATCTGAGTATTACTGCATATGTTTGGTCACACACATCCTACCCTGGCCATTAAAGAAAGGACACCTTGCAACATTTGAAAAAGTGTACCTATCAGCCATTTAAAATACAGTTACCTGAGCATTTCAAAATGTATCTTGCCTTTCACTCTTGGATTAACATTTTAACCTTTATTTAGCTATACCATAATCTTATGAGATGAGATCTGGATCCAACACAGTTTTTTAAGGAGACACAAAATAGTAAAATAGATACCTTCTGGTCTTGGCTTTGGTTTTTCCAATCCACCATCTTGCATTAGCTCAAACGCAAAGGATACATTGAGGACCTAGTAATATAATAAAGGTAGTCATTATCGTGAACTATATACAGTATATTATAAATGGTCAAAACAAGAGGTATTTAAAGCTGCAGACCTAGATACTTGGAAGGGAAAAAATAGTCAGGGCTCTATTATCAGTGGAAGATCTGGTCCATGGAATCCAGACAATCCATTGTTGTTTTTTTCTGGGTGGTGATGGTGATTTCAGAAATATCAAAGTAACTGCAAAATAACTTGTGAACTAGTATTACCCACAGAAAAATTACTTACAAGTAAGAATAGCCCACCTCCTGCAAGTTTAAAAATTAGAACATGATGGATCATGAAGTGCTCTTGTGTTGAATAGAGAGCTGAATTGCCTGGGTAGCAACAGACACTGAGGTAATGGTTGGTCTTAAAATGATACATTTTACATATATGCCTTTATGCTTCCAAAAAACATGAAAACTTTCAAATGTTAAATTCTCGGATTTTGGACACAAAAAAATTGGTTCTCTCATCAATTCATGTGTATAGTTCTTTATATACTTAACGAACAGTAAGTCAATGACTTACTTTGGCAGACAATGGCTGCCAAAATCAGTTAAGACTTGCTAACCACTCCATCATTAACATAGCTTTCCCTTTTATTCCGAATAAGCATTAATACTGAGATCTTAAAAAATGCTTGGAAACAGTTACCAGTATAGTTCTCTCTTCATTTCAGCTATTTACATCAAACCTAAGTAGAAAAGTTTGTGTCATCCTTGTACTACTAGACTTGTTTGTATGTTTATTTGTTTTTAACAGAAAAATGAAATCTAATTACCTTTTGTTCAAAACTATCAGGAGTCAAGAAAAAGCTGTGCAGAGGAACAAAATAGCCTTCTAGGAGACCCATTAGCAGGACTAAGTACACACCATCTGCAAACTGTAAAAAAGACGTCTCAGTACATTTTCTGAAGAATAACTCATTGCTTTGGTAAATGAACAAAATATATATTGCCTAATGCAAAACTGTCAACAACCTACTACTACAAATATTTTAAACTGCAACTAAAAGATCTTCTCTCACTTCTTTGATTCCTTTCATTTAGTTAGTATGTTCTGTTATGTCTTCTCCAAAACTGACCTAGTGCTAAAATGCAGGATCCAGTCCCTGGAAAGAGAGGTGGTCAGTGGCTTTGATCTATGCCTTTGCTTTCTATTCTACTAGTTGTGGGGAATCACAACAACCACATTTCAAGCTGTCAAATGGCACGCATTCCCTGAGCAGAGAAAAGCAGAATGAAGGTGCAATCTCATGATTGCATGGAAATTCAGTATATTGGAGGAAATAAAGGAACAGAGAATTATCTTTGTTCATGTTCTATAAGTCTGTGTCAATCTAATTTTAACTATAAATAATTACAGATGGAAGATATCTAATTGCTAGGATATATGTTCATTTCTATCTAAAAAAATAGCAACATCCATGATTTTGTTAAAGGCCTCTCACTCTTATCCCTGTGCATCAGGTCTGTCAGTGCATTGAGATATCCTCACAGTCAAACTGAGTGAGGTCTGAAGCAACCCATCACCTTCCTGATGTAGATAATTTTTCTTCAACTGATAGAAACAGAGTCTCTCATCTGAAGGAATACTGTTTCATATAAACACTTAAGGGGCTTCTAGGTGGATTTGAATAATATGTTTTTTCCAAAAGTAGACAATGCAATAAGTAGGCATAGGGAATACCCTTCTGAAAGCCCTTATACAGTATCTTCATCTGTATTTTAATTTTAACTTTGAAAAATCTCTATCAGATTGATCGCTATTTAAATAAACCAGAGATTGTTAATAACATGAATCAAGACATAAAATAAAGCCTATCCTGAAGACACCTAATTTTTTTGATAGTGTGGATACCATCCTTCCCACCTGACTTTCTCATTTTCTTATAACTTCTGCAATTGTACACGTGGGGAGGTATTAATACAGCAAGATTAAGCTTTTCTTTTAGCTTCTTTCCAGCCAATTTAGCAGCTGAGAACAAGAAAGAAGACCATGCACCACATTATTTCTGTGATGCAATCAAGTCTGCAGTCCAACTGTACAGCTGCCTATACACTTGAGTAGCTTTACTCTCAAGAACATAGCTCACTGAATAGAGTCACTGTAATCCCACACGATTGCGTGCTTGTGTAAAGGTGGGCAGGAAACAACTGGTCAGCTTGACGCTGGATAAAACCAAGCCAACAGAGTCCTTTCCTGACGACAACAAGCACAGGTTCTGCTTACAGCATTTGGCAGTGCCCAAGAAGTAACATCTGTCAATTAATGTTTATGCTAATGCAAGTACAGAACTGTTTTAGAGCAATTTAGCTGCCCTCATGATTTCTCTGCTTAATTAGAAAGAGTCTTCTTTAGAATTGAAGAGTTTCCTGCTGAAATAACGTCTTAGAGTGCAATCAATAATAACTCAATTAAATTTCTGGATAAAGTTGGGGGCGTAGTGCAAACTAACCCTCCCCTTTAAGAAAGGCTGTAAAATCCTACCTGGGTTTCCAGTTCAGTGACCTCCAAATTCAGTTTATTGAGATGCTTGTTCACAAAGGTGATGAGAGTCTGAAATATCACAACAATGTAGTGAAAGCCTATTCATAGGGCAGCAGTTCAATGCATGCAGTATGAACTCCACTCAGAAGAGAATCTCCATGAGTGAAGAGACTGCAACACAAGTTTTAAGTTTTAAAACCGAAATATGATATATAAAAAAATAAAATTTCCAAGAAGAAGAACAGAAATAAAATAAACGTTATGTATATAAATAAAAATACACTGTTAAAACATAATACTTCTTAAAAAAAAACTTGTAGCAGACCATAGGGAAGTGGGTAATTGGACTCCAGTCAAATCTGACAGCAGCCAAAATACCATAGGTCAGACCCCTGGCAGTTGTAAACTGGATACCTCCTTGGCATCGGTACACTCAATCTACCAGTTGGGTTCTGCTCAACACGCACTTTGTGAGAACTTATTTTTCATGGAAACTTTGATAACTATATGTTGTTCTGTGTTCCAAAGTTAAGTTCATGTTCCTAAATATTAATAAAAAGTAACATTATAGTCATGAATTATTGTATTTAAGTATAAAGCTTAAATGTATTTAATGTATGCAAACTATGTCAATTATACATCATATGCATACACACTCACTCTACATGTACAAACCGATACATACAAGCATGCACATGCACATATTTTGTATTTTAAAAGTAAAAACCTTCCAACCTTTTTCACTACATTGAGCTTGTCTGGAGCGTGGTCAAATAAAGTATCAAATGCATCCCTTTCTGAAAAACATTCAGAGATGTTAATAAACCGAGCAGCAGTTGTCCAAATGCAGAATAAACACTTGCTAAGGCACATGGTGGTTTAAGACAAAAGTCAGCAAAAGGTTTCAATGTATTCGCTTTGTATTCCAAGTACCATGTATTTTGCATACTACAGTCTTGCTATAAGCTTCTAGTGACTTATTTCTCTTATTTACAAAAAGCATAATTTTCAAGTAGGAATTGGACTACCTAATAACGCTGGTCCTCAAAAATGAACAAAGAATGGTACCTTTATGCATAAAATCTTAAACAGCCAGATACAGGGAGCTAAGTAACCAAATGATTGCATGCAGAAGAATGTGAGTTTACATCTAGAGCCACTACATCAACAGAGGAAGATTTTCGCCATGGGTGACTGACTGCATTGTGATGTCCTATATTATTAACCACCTCAAGCAAGCTTACAATTACACAACTGCAATATAATCCTTTGTATAGATGGTTTTGGGCCATTCTGATATGCAATTTAGGACATCAGAAGCAGGACAGGCAATCTAGGGTAGCATGACTAGAGCAATACTGTAGTCACCTTCTGAAGAAAACAGAAAAAATATAAAATAAAAAGGCACCAGAGCCTTTTCTGAGTAATTTTCACTTTGACAATGACCTGAATGATAGCAAATGACTCCACAACAAGGTACATTCATATTCCTCAATTAAAAAATAATATAGTAGATCCAAAGGCATTTCTAGAAGGCAGAATTTATACAAAGTAAGACTGCTCAGGGATATATCACTGGGAAAAGACGTCATGCATGTAGCCTTTTAAATCAGCTGTCAGGCAGCCACTGAAATAATAGAAGAAACAAATGCTAAATTATTGGTGGGACTTCACCTAAGCTCCTCGGATAAGTGTTTTCTGTTGGCCAGGCATTTGGCCAGTCTCAATACTAGCAGTAAGACATACTATGGCAGAGGAACTTGCATGGTGCTTAGGCCTGTTGGATAATGACTCAAAGTCATTAAAGTGTAAGGAAGTAATGTATGCAAGGATGCCGACAGGTTCAGCAGCTAGTTTTTGATAAGACATCATTGCACATTATGCTGGGAACCTAAGACCATTAATACTATTACTGTAGTGTTCTGGAGGTTAAACCACAAACCACCTGCAAATTAACACATGCCGAAAAGCAATGAAATATGTTTTAAAGATGGTCATACTGATTTTAATGCTTTTTTTCCTTTTGTTAACTGCCACAATAGCATGTGGTTACAGGGCAACTTGAAATTCTACTTCCTTGCAGTTTGATCAAAGTGACCCATTGCAGAACTAATGTACATTTCGGCTGCTTCAAGAACAAGATAATAATCAAATGAACTTACCGTGCCTTCCCGACAATGCCCTATAAAAAAAAAACAAACAAAAAAGAACAAAACACAGTTATATATAATTCACTTGCAGACATCGTGCTGCAAAAGAAAACAGCATACATGGCCAGATCTTCAGCTTAATGAAAACTAGAATAGATCCATGAAATTAAGAAAACCTTCATCAAGTTACTCCAACTGAGAACCTGGATTAGTCTCGGAGTCCAGCAGTATAGTATCTTCTGGCTTCACTAAAGTCTCATGAGAAGCCAGATTTCAGATTTCCTACTATTGAACCAAGTGAATACACCTTGCCTGAGTGAAGAAGGCCTTTTCATGTTGATTTTGTGAAAACTTTTCCCTCTGCTTTAAAGATGCATTTACCACACCAATCACAATACAATTGCAGCTCAAACAATGCTTGGACTGGGTTCTTAAGGACTGCAGCATTTTGCTCCAGTTTATCCTTCATAAAACTATTACACATAAACAAATCCATAAAGATTAATAACAAATCAATAGTCAATCTTCTCTCCATCCCATTAGAAACTAGCATATGCTACTACTGCTTTCTGTTGGTTTGGAATAACTTTTCTGTTATAAATTGTTCAGTGAGAGAACATGTACAGAGCTTGTACTACCATCTTTTTACATCCCCAAAGTCCAAACACCTAAAAATAGACATATCATGTTTCTTTGTGAAAGAACCTAGTTCTCTGTCAAATAAATACCAACATAAAAGAATGAGGTATATCTTTTTTGTTTGTTTGATGGACTTTTGAATTAAAAAAAGAAGAAATATAATAAATACAGAAATAAATTAATAGCAGATAAAATAAAATAGAGATTTTGTATCTCTTCACTCTGTCTTCTCTTTTATCCTAATCTCCTGCTTTTAGTTCTCCAGCTCTATATTTCCTCACCCTTTTGTATTTTTAGATGCATGTTTGCAGCTCTTGAAAAGGCTAAAATACAGTCACTGGCTGATGCATCATCTTCCTTGGAACCCCAATACCAAAATCTAAATATCAGCAAATGTTTGAATTTCTGAGACGCATCTGTGTTCAATTACTGAACTGCTGGCAAAAGTGGTGTTGACATACTCAGTGTTACCAGTTATTTCCTCTTGGATTTGCCGAGACTGGAGGATTCCTTCTCGTTTCTGGAAAAAATAAAGAAGTGGCATTTTTCTTAGTAAAGTTAAATGCTTAGGGTACAATAAAAATTTATTTGTGATCCACAAACATAATTAGATAAGAAATCTGCAAAATAAGAACTTTTCAAAAACAAACTTATAGTGATATATTATTTCACCTTGCAAGTATTTCAGAAAACTCTTTTGTACATTAACAAGAAACTTGAAACTCCACCTGTAGAAGGAAGTATTTCTTTTCCTTTCTCCATTGTTCTTAATTCACTTTTCTTTTAAAGGCCCCAATTCAGCAAGACATTTGAAACACCTAAGCACATATGTAAGTATTTTAGTAGAGGTATGTATAGGTGAGTTGAATTAAACCTTGTATTTCAGTGTACAGCTTGGCAGATGGTGCCTGTGTTTCTCTTTTGCAAAAATCTTGCTCCCGGGCTATCTGTTCTTTCTACCTCATTCATACACTTTCTTTTTGCCTCAGTGTTTTCCTTTTCTGACTTCTCTCCACACAAAGAGCTCTATTTGCTTGCGATGGAAAACCAAAATGGAGGATAAATCATTCACAGCCTGCTCCAGACCCTAGTCTTGGTGTTAATGTATGCATTGACTCCAATGTTCTTCAGACATGAGAAGTTCTTTGCACATGGTGGTGAGTAGCCTTGTGTCTGGCAGCTATACACAAAATGGCAGAAGCCAACTCAAATGGTTGCTTTCTGAGTCAGTTGTAAAATGAAGGAGTTTAAAAATTTGACATTGTTTCCAGGATGCTGATCACAGTCAGTGGTGGTTGTGTAAATACCACACATATGTTTTGCTTCTCTTTGTGTTCTTTCTGTTAATTCTACTCACTAGAATTAGTAAAATTTTGCAATACAGAAAGAAAAGTCAGGCGAATGCTGACGACTGCATGTAAAGCCTAGACATTAGGCAATTATTCATGATTCTTTACTCCCTGTCAGACAAGGAAGTGAAAAAATAAATTTATGCTAGTCCTATACTTGCCTTCTACATGGAGAAAAGGAGAATAACCTTTTGGAAAAGTCCTTCATGGCATGTGAACTGGGGCTGCTGCTCTTCCCTGCCTTGGAGAACATAGCACAGCCCCACCTAAGGCAGTCCTCGGTGTAGGATGTGCTGAGGATTTGGCCAGGGTTGAGTCTATTACTTCCATGCTGCATTACTAAAATATACGAGGATCAAACCTACTTCCTGCAAGAAAGCCATCCATGGCACTCCCTGGGTCATTCCAGACTAGTACTTGCAGTAACCTGAACTATCCTTTTAGCTAGATTATAGTTATTTTTTTTTAAAGCCCTGTTACTAAACATCTTGCACATGGTTAAAAGCGCATTGAGGGAGGACCTCTGAACATTAAAAAGACAGAGGAAGTCCAGGGTGTTACTGAAAACAGTGAAAATACTGTAAGAGGGGGCACACAACAGCTGCTGAGACATCTTCTGTCACATATCTTGAAAGTCTGAAGAAAAACTACATCTCTTAGGGCTATCTTCATTTCCAGCTTGTGCAGACAGCAGTAACTACTTGCACTTGGAAGTTACAATCTATTTTATGCTAGCTCAAGTTAGAATTCCACTCTGGGATTTTTGTTTATTTTTCCCTTTGCTGCAGAGTGAAAGGAAACTTTTATTTCTTCCTGATGATGACTCTGACATGCCAAGAGAGCAAAAGCCCTATCACTCTTGTCTCCTCTCTGAGTTGGGCATCATAGCAATGGCAACTGTACTTCTCAGTGCCCAGACTGATGATGTAGAAGAAGAAAAAGGCTTCTAATACCCTACCTTCCCTCTGCAAACATGCTCAAATAGCTTGAAACATACTCCAGTACCGATATAAAACATATTTCCCTTTTGATAAACTGATATTAGTATCAATATGAGTTCTGGACCTTAATCATGTTGTTGTCAGAAAAAAAAGAACAAATTTTAAAAAAAGAGACATCAAACCCTAGTTCTGTTCCTGGCATCTGATCACTAACATTAATGGAATTTCCACACTGCCCAAAACCAACACGCATCTGCTGGTCACTTATTTGACCAGCACATGTCAAGACAGGCTTTCCTATGCTTTTGATTTGTAAAGACAGGTCCCAATGGCAACAATCAGAATGGACCTTAGAAACACTAGTCTAAGGACCTTCTCTGTGAAGGCGGCTTCGCATATATCTTTGCACTTCAAAAACTCTCCACCTCAAAAATTGGCCTTAACACCAGTGCCACCTGTTGTGAAGTTTGTTTTATATCAGACTGAGAATGACACAATATTCCTGAACGTACAAAGAAGTGCTACTGAGGACTGAAAGACTGTCCAGTGATGTTCCTTAAAGACAACAGTGACTATAACTGAAATAAAAAATGATAAAAACCAACACCTACAAAGTCACTGAGAAATGAGGCATGTATTAGGATTCCTCATTAGAAAGCTAGACACACATTCCAGTGACCACAGAAGACTTTATTTGGACCAGCTTGGCATCTTCTTCCCTCACAGCTGAAAGACTCCACTAAAAGCCTGAAAGATCTTCCTAATCACTTATTTTAAATTGGTGACTACTCCTAGAACAAAAAAATATATCTGAAATTTGGGTAATATGTCTGGAAATGAATGAGTTCTCTCTTCTTCAAGCCTCTTCACATCACCTATATGTCAGCAATTTTATATAATTGACGGCCAACTGCTTAATTTCCCACACAAAGTCCCATTCTGAAAACCTTCCCACTACTTGAATGGGTTTTGCCTATGTATTGCTATCTGTTTCATCTGGAGGATCATGTTTTATAATTGCTTCACCAAGACGAAATGCAGAACTACTCTGGAGCTTGAAAGAACAAATATGTTTGACAGAGGTTCAAAAAAAGACTTCTTGGGAACCCGAAGGCAATGCTGCTCGGAAACATTTCAGACCTTCCCCGAGAGGCAGTGGGACCAATGACCTCAGATTAAGCTTGTGATGTACACCTTCTTCTAATCTCATTAATTTCCTAGCTTTGCTTAACAGCAGTTTACGCATGCAAGAATTGCTGTCTCAGTGCTCAGAATATGCTGAAGCCATTGTGGCTGCTCTACCAATGCATTCTTATACTCGTACAGCTCTTGCACACAAACAATCTGTCATTTAACCATTTGTGGATGGCATAAATAAATAGTTTTTGAAAAGAGGCAAAATGATACCAAGATCCAGCTCTCCACAAAAGCTCTTACTTGTTTCAGTAGAAATGCTCAAATAAAGTCTGGCCTCTGTTGAAATGTATTCATTCTATTAATATGGAAGGAAAAGAAAACAATATAACAGAATAGCTACAAAAGGTCCAACTATGAATTTTTTTCCCATATTTTTGCATATTACTCTCATTGCTAACAGCTTTTGTACAAAGCGACTAAAGGAAACAAGCTTCCATAAGAACTGTGCTGATTACCTGTTGGGCACGAGCACATTTTTTGTTTCAGAAATATCTTTGTTTCTATTTCAATAAACCATACCTAGCCAACACAGCAACCCTCACATGTTATGTGTTTTTAAATCTAAAAAAAATCATTAAATGAATTAGGGTAGTCCTCTTTAAAGACTTCATAAAGGTACTTTGTTCCTTTATTTCTCTCTCTCCTATTCCCTTTATCAAGCTGTACAGAGTAGAATTAAAAACCAGCTACCACATAGTCTGTTGAGTTTCCCTAGGTGTGACCTTACTTTACAGAATGTATGAGGGTTAGAACATGAGACGTGCAAGTTTGAACACTAAATTAGGCTTTCGGATCTGCTGATGGTTGATTAAAACTTTCACTGAGTTTAAAGGGTACGTGATGAATTATATAGAACCGATCCCACAGGACATGAAAGACAGATTTAGAAAATAAAAATAAAAAACTCACCCACCATAAAATAAAAACAAAAAATGTCTCAACCACAATTACAGTAAGAATACTGTCCCCCACCCTATGTTAATAGGAATCAGCACAGCCTTGGAGTTCCACTGATTGGCTTTCACCAAGGACTGGGTCTGCAGGGCAAAATCTTCTGCAACATCACTTGTTTTTCATTCTGGTGCAAATGCTCTCTCTGCAATTCACTGGCGCCTGAGCTACAGCTGTGTAGCTAAGAGGCAAAGCATTGAGCCAGATTCTCCCACTACTTATTGTTTTTAAATTGGTTTATCTCTACTGACTTCAGTGGATTTGCTGTTGAACCACATTAGCCTATTAAACAAGACGACAATTATGTCCACTGCTTTCAATGGGAATTTTGTCTGGAGATATGGAGTGACAGCAGAATGCAAGATCTGGTTCTTTATTTTAAGACTATGTTCTTTTTCTGGTTTACTTTCTCATCCCAAAAATGCCCTGACTGCTGCACTCCTGATTTCTTAAGCTCTTTTTGGTAGAACTTTGAGATAAACCAGTATAATTAATATATTTACAATAATCAAAGGAAAGTGCTTGAAAATTATATTCCTCTGAAGCCTTAGACATTTAAGTGCAGATTTGCTGGGGTTCTCTTTCATTCTTTGTGAGAAATCCAAGAAGCAGAGTCTGAGAGTCAATGAGTCATTATCAGGCATCAGTGATGCATCTACCAGAGACTCCCCCTTCAGATTTCTCCCCAAATTACAAAACTTGACTGATTTGAATGCTGGAAAAATGAGTGGTTACTTTCTCAGATCTGTCCCACGGATTTTCAGTCATGTAAAATTTGACCAATAGCTCTTTGCACCAGATACTTCAGGGTAACATCCGTTAAAATACATAAATACAGACAGCTACAGTGCAAAAAATAAATGCAAAATTAATTGGAGAGAAAGAAAAGCAGATTAATTGGGAAGAGGCCAAATAAGATAGAGCAAGCACAAGTCCAACTGAAAGAAAATGTCTGGATGGATGAGGCTCTAATAAGGAGACTGATTGATGCAAACGGTTTAGATGATGGGATTTTTTTGCATGCTTATGAGAAAGCCAACACTGTAATCGGACTAAATTAGCATGCACATGGTGAACAGAATAACATGAAGAGTCTGGATGGATGAGGCTCTAATAAGGAGACTGATTGATGCAAACGGTTTAGATGATGGGATTTTTTTGCATGCTTATGAGAAAGCCAACACTGTAATCGGACTAAATTAGCATGCACAAGGCTGAAAAAGAATATTTAGTCACCTAACATGCATCTGAATGTAATAAACAGTGACAATTCATCATTCGGCGCCAAGAATGATTTGAATCTCTATACAAATGACAAGACCGTCAAAAATGGGAAAAATAATAATTCTAGAGATAGTACTGGTGATAAACAAACACATTCCAACAATAATAATGCTTCATATATTTTTAATGTCAGAGTCTGGCCACTTCACAATCAAAATAAGATATTCTGAGACACAGCTGAATCTGGGAAAGCACTTCTGCCTTTTTCTGGTTGAAGCATTGTCAGCAGGGAAGATGCACGAGTGTTTCTTGTCAGCCAGAGACGTACACATGCCCGCCCAAACAGAAACTCTAGATGTATTTTTCAAGAAACCCCTCAGTCAATTTCACAACACTACCAAGAGCTGTTTAACTCCTCTCTTACCTGCACAACAACAACCTGAATGGACACATGATCTGGGAGTCTGATTGGTGCTCGAAAATACTGTGATAACGCAACCAGAAGATGCAGTATTGCTACGAGACTTTTAGCGTGAACAGCTGCAAAAGATATTAAAAGCACAAGTTACAAACTGCAAAGTAACTAGGGCACATATTTCTACTTTTTAGGATGTAGGGATTATGGGACTCTCTTCCTCTTGCCACCTGGACCCAGGGGGCACTTTTAAGGCATCTTTCCTTTACTGGTCTCCTCCTGCTTCAACAGGTCATGCAAATGCAGCCCAGTCAGTAAATGTGTGTCAGCACCAAAGCGTTACTTTTGCAAAACGTCTGGAAGCCATAGGCTTGTGTAGATGGAAATCTAAAGCTAATCCAAAAGCCAGATTTCATGTACAGCAGTTTAAGTGCTGTCTCTGCATTCTCCTTGCCTTTCCTTTATTCCCTTTATTTCAATAAGGATTTATGGACTATCAGAAAGATATTTTTGTACTCATAACATGCACTTATTCATTTTTAAGTGTCACAGTGTCTGCAGGATGATAAACGAGCCTATTTTGGCAGAGGCCTTAAGCAATAACTTACTAAACTCAATGACTCAAACATTCCTCATGAAGTTATTATAGTTCTTGTTATTGAAGCTTTTTCACAGCAGGTTTCATGTGGGTAGTTAACACTAACACGACTTACAAGATATCAAAAGCCATACTGTAGGAAATCCTTAATCAAATATCAAACCGTTGGCATGGAAGTGCATAATTTCTAATTCCTATTATTGCCTTTCTTCGTCTTCTATTTTGTTTTTGCATTTATAGTCTTCCCCAGAGTAGTATTCCTACATGCTCGTTGATGACTACACTACAGGGCACTTATGTTTTTTGTACTTGAACTAACCAATAACTACTACCTTACTTCACTGCTAAAGCAGGATCAGATTCATGAAAGTATCCTTCTTCATTATCTTCCAATGCAAGTCTCAACTATGCCGTGGAGATACTCATTCATATAAAATGCAGCAGCACTGTCAAATTTTGCTGGTGTGCCAGTGGTCACAGATGAGGTGCTTTAGCAGAACACTAAAAAGATGTCTGTCGGCCCAGCACTGGTGTGTGCTACAGCTGGCTCCAGCTGCTGCTGTCTATCTCTACTTCAGCTCTAAAACACATGTGAAACATTAAATTAAAACTAGAAGTTAAATTGTCAGACCACTCCAAACACCCTGCCTCCAACTGCCTAACAGAGAATGGAAAAAACCTGGGGGAAGGTTGAAGAGAAATGGGGACAGAAAACTCATTGGGACCACACGAAGGGGAAAGTCAAATACGCCTCGTGTTCACTCTTCCCCTCTCAAGCTATTTCCTGTTCATATATTGGTTGTGAATGGAATGGGATACAAAACTGCTCAGCTCAAGACAGGTAGAGGAGCCAGGGAAACTGCTATATACTGCTCAAGGTATTCACCAGCGTGAAACAATTCTGGATACCAAACTTAAAACAGACTGAAAGGTCTAATTTTCTAAAGCTTCTGATAACGTGCTTTCTGCAACACATATGCACTACAATGTCTTGTGTTGGGCCACCGAAGAAATTTCTGTTAGATATTACTACATTCATTTTTAATACAATAAAATGGAAGGGTGCAGTCCTAATCTTGATGAGAGTTTTGTAACCAATATCAGTGGTTCAGATTTAGCCTTAAATGATCAGAAATATTATTCATATCTATGCTGAAAATTTTACACAGATAGAGAGTCCTTAGGACCTAATGCTCCTTCTGCTCATCTACTACATTTATGCAGGTACTTGCCCTTTTCAACAAACCAATTAAGTAACAGAAAACCTAAGCTGCTATGCATATGGATTTAAGAGCAGAAATACTGTACTTTGACAAACTCTGAAAAGACAGTTTATTTAAATTGGAAGTTGAGCACCAGTAAAGAGGGCAGGAGTGTACCACATCTGGAAGTGCCCTGCGGAGCAGCATATGGTAGCATAAACACCAGGTTTCAGCTTTCCCTTATCATTGGGTATTTCAGAATTCCAGATAGCAGCTATAAACTCTCTGCTGTCAACAAATGAGGACAGCATAGAAAACACATAGCTTACAGTCAACGTTCCATTTAATGCTTCTTGGAGGGAGCTTAAGGGTTTCATTGATCTTTTCAAGCACTGTCTGTAACTTCTGCTTCTGAGCAATTTCAGACTGAGTAACTTCAGCAACATTCAGCTTCTCACTTTCAAGTTTCTCTGAAATGATAATAGAAGAAAAAACAGAAGAAAAAACATTGTTAACTCCATGAAGAATATAAAGACATTCTGTGCACCCAGCTGTACATTCAAGAGATATTAGACTTCCTAGTTTTAAAATTATATGCTTTTTCTTCCAGAGCCACTTTCCCCAACACATCTGAACTCCTTAGCTATAGCTCACGTTTTCCCTTTATTTACCCATTGCCAAGGGGAAGGTGAAGTACTAATGAAAGGCACACCACTAGCTAACAAATATTTGCTGCAACTCTCTTTAGGGAACACCAGATTCTGAGGTAAGGCCCATTACTCCTGTTGCTACTGGATAAAGGGTATTCTGTATGTAAGTGGCTTGTACAGCAGACCAGCAAACCTAGGAAACGGACAACAACTTTTAAGAAGCTTCCTTTCATGAGTTGCAGCCTCCTGGCTTCTCCATCAGACTCAGGAGATTTTAAAACTTTACTTGGCCCATTTGTGATAAAAGTGAAGTGACGTCATATTCATAAAGGTGGAGGATGCACCCAAGAAATGCAAACAAGTATTTCTGGAAGTACAAAAACAACTAAAACATTGGGCAATTTCTTTCTATGAAACCACAGCCCTTTTCTGCAATCAAAATTTGCAGTACATTTTAAACTACTTTATGAAGTGGTCTGTAAATAAATAGTACAGATTGCTAGGTATATACATACATGGCTTAGTGTTCACCATTCAATAGTAAGCAAAGAAAATTTAGCAGTAAAAGCTCCCTGATAACAACCCTAGAAACGAAATGCTTGGTCACCTATCAGTTTACTTCTATGAAAGAATATCTCATTAAGCTTGGTAAGAGCTGATCTTGTTCTCTTCAAAGTCAACTGAGTATCTTCCCAAAGGGAGTGAATCTATGAAATCTATGAATCCTGCCTAAGAGAATGCTGTCTCCATGGGTTTCTTGCACCTCTGCAGAAATCAGTTTGTGCATAGTCTCACAACAAGAACGAAGTCTTTAATTAGCATAGACCTGATCCACAAGAATTAAGGGTAATGGAAGAGATTCCACTGAAATCAGTAAGTGCTGGATCAGTATACACATATTTAGACTCAGACTGTATCTGATATGCATTTTTTGGGTTTTGGGTGAAGTCACTGGAGGTCTGTCCATAAGAATCAAATTGCTCAGTCTGGGGCACATCCACTCCACCACAATAGCTTAAACATTCATAGAAGGGAACAGTCTGTGTAGTCTTTATTAGAAGTGCTCACATGATGTTTCAAGATTCATTTAAGATACTGAAAAGAAATTTACTGGAGACTTTATGAGCTGTAATAACTAAGAAAATGGCTTCCAAGCCAACAGTTAAAAAAGCACATGCCAGCTCTGCATTAGCAGTTTCTTTTCTCTATCTGTTTCTCAGCTGAAGCTCAGTTTGCAGTCCACTGGGTATCATTACCTCAGTAACGTTAAAAGCCAGACATCAAATCAGAAAGAAATTCCAACTTTCCAGAGGAACTTCGCGATGTGAACAAACTATAGTATTGAACCAGCAGAGATTAAAAACATCCACTGTTATACTGAAAATATCCTTGCCTTCAAACTTACTTTCCACTTGTAACACGGTTAAGTTTGTACAGCACATATGCAGATAATAAATTTAATTGGAGTGAATACTGTTTCCAAGACAAAAACCCTCCCTCCCTAGCACCCCAGGTAGGCTTTATGCTGTTCTCATCAACTACAGAGCACCACACATTGCACTGTAGCTATAAGGATTGTGCATACAGCCTGTTGCTCAAGGGTCTCATAATACAATGCTATTTTTATATCACTTAGTGGCATAAATGTAAGATGATACCAAGGCTCCTAAGTAGGAACAAGTGATCCACTTACTGACAAAGTGCCCCAACAGCATGCACATATATTTTTTCTTACCAAATAATTTCTGCAATACTTGTCCATCATACAGGTCTTCAGCCAAGTCTTTCACAATAATCCTCTCTCCTACCAACACATCATTAATCCAGTCAATTAATACCTATATGGGAAACACAAATTTGGCAGTATTATACACTATTCATTTTCAATTTAAAACACATGTCATTTTGTACAATGATGAAAATATTTAGCAGAAAGAATACCAAAGCTGCAATGACTCAAAATACAATCAGTCTGAAATGCCATCAGAAGAAAATAGGAAGGCGTTAGGAAGGAGTTAGGAAGGGCTCTTCTAAGGTGGCTGTGTCAATGCACCACGAGATTTAGACAAATACCAGATTGAGGCAGATTCCGGAGTGAAATCTGCTCTTTGCTTTCAGTAGTATTTTAACATTTTATTGTGAGGCAAAAGGTGTTGAGGTCAATTCTAATGAAGTTTCCTCTAAAGTTCCAACCCCAAGAATCACAAAGACTACAAGGGAAGTCAGTGTCATCTTAGATTGGGGGTGTGATGGGACTAAGAATACGAATTCAGGATTTTAATCCAAATTATTAAGTCTGTCTGTGCCATATCTCGAAAAAGATACTAACCACAAATGACCTGCCCATTTCACTGCAATGCATACACTATGTGGTTTCATTCAATTAATATCTAAACAGTGCTTTGAAGTATTCAAAGGAAAGAGGCAGGGATAGCATTAAAAAATGGTTTCACTTTCCTGAAAGTGTTTACATGCTTTTCATTACCTTCATTAGTTCTTGTAATTTTGGGTCATTTCTTGAATTTGGATCAACCATTGTTCGGACTTCATTTTCCTCTGGAAGGTTTAAAAGAAAGATATTAGAAACCATTACAGGCATGACACTTTATTTTACATCAAGCTTTTATGTTGAGATGTAAAATTGTTATGAATTACCTAGCATAGTGTCCTCAGGGTCTAGTTCGAATGGAATTGGACTGAGAGGTAAGTTAATGGCATTTATTCCTTCTTCCTGTAATTCAGATACTAGGAAATAAAAAAGAAGAGCTTGGTCAAATTTCAATTCAATTTTACTTACTATTTCACTCTTGTTGAAAGTAGCATTAATTGTCTTAATTTCTTTATAAGAACATGACTCCATTAGATGTGCCACTAGGTGTAATTACAGCAATAAAATGTAACTAACAAAAATGGGAGGCCCAGCCAACAAACCTTTACTTGTATGAGTAGATTTTTCACGGATAATGGTACTGGAATCAATTCAATTTCCTCAAATCTTTTCCAGTATAAGGCCCATTGTCCTCAAATTTTAAAAAGCTCACTTGCATTCTAATAGTCCTGACATTTTAACACTAATGAATCATTTTAGCTGAGGGAAATGACTATTGCTCTCAGCTATGTCACCCTTGCTCTGGTGATACTTCAAGTTTAGCTACTTGAGAGGAGCTGGGTCTGGGTGTATATACAACACAGGAGCTGCCAGACTGATAAAACTATTTAGGACTGAAGGTGCAGTTACAGCACACGGCTCTCTCCATTGTTCAGAGACCAGCTGCAGCAGACTGGGATGCTTCTGGTCTGTGCTCTTGGGCTTTCTTTAGCAGAAACCACAGCAGCAGGACACACGCGTAAGACGATGAACCCTCAGAAGTACTGCCTTAGTGTGGAGTCCAGACACAGGTTGAGAAAGAACTTGGACTTGGAAATTGAGAAGTAAACCAAAATCCCATAGTCTGGAGCTGCATGGTTGTCAGGAAATATGGACAAGCTCCTACTCAGCCAAAGTCCCCTGACACTGCAAAAATCAGCGTTCTTGTAATACATGCTCTGACAACATAGGAACAGAGAGATCCAGAGAAGTGTAAAAGCTGCTAGTTCTGTACTATACAGGTTCTGTATCTTATACAGCACAGAGAAACATCATACATGCCTCTTGGTGACCCAAACTTTAATAGGTTGCAAAAACAAACCCCTTCCTTCACTGCCCAAACATGTTTCCATAACAGAAGAGAATAAATACAAAAAAGCCAATATACTAATCCTACCGCAATGGAAGAACATATAGCACTGGACAGGGAGGGTAACCCACTCGGGTGATCAGACAAGTTTGTAGCCGCTTTGTAACCAAGAAATCAGTGCAAACCTGATTTACCAAACCAGGAAAGAGGCTCACTGTCTTATGAATGACAAGTAAGTAATGTTGTTTTGACCACCAATTTTCCAGTGTGCAGACCTTGGATAAAACTGGTTGTTAGCACAACCATTCTGGTTGGAGTATAAACTTAAATAACTGAATTCAATCATCCTGCGTGTGTCCTAAAGATTCAGGTTCTTACATGAACTAAAATATATGATCGACGTGCAGATGTAGATTCACCATTAACATTTCAGATTTACTACATGAAGCTTTCCTCATTTTATTCTGAAAATTACAGGAACAATTTAGGTTCAGAGAAAACAGAAAAGCAGAAAGTGACAGTAAAGATTGTGTGCTTTGATCCTGGCCCCGTGACTGCCTCATAAGTTAGCTTTCGGAGAATGGTTTTACTTCTCTGCCTTAACTTCCTGTAAGCAGTAAGTGCAACTAAGTTTCACATGAACACTGTGATAATTAGTCAATTGGTGTGATAACAGTACTTAAAACTTTCCAAATATTTTCTATGCTTTATGAAATGTTTTTTGCTCCGCCAGATGAAATGTCTGTGCACATTTCAACAGTCTGTGTAGCTGTATTCAGGCATCTATGTAAGACTCACAGCAATAATGGCTGTTAAAATGCTTATTTTACTTGTACAAAAACAACTTTGAAAAACTCACTACCTTCAATACTGAAACACTAGCTTCACTCCATACACTCACCCTGCTTGTGTATCTGTAAAATACAAATACTGAGCAGCCCTACAGAGTTATAAAATAATGTTGACAATAATAGTTCCCTGGATCGTTGTATATCCTCTAAAACTGATGGCTGAGAGCAATGGACCAAATTAATCCCTCATGTAACTCCATTGAGTTCTGAGGAGTTATAGCAAGGATGAATTTGGTCTAGCATGTACAATCTCAGGAACTGTTTACACTTAATGGCAATCTTTTGAACTGCTGGCACTTCTTAGAGAAAATCATTGTTGGTTTTATTAACCTCTTTGATTTTTTTTTTTTTAACTTTGGTTCAAAATGGTTATGGGCATAAAAATGTCAGTGGATAGAAAACTTCCATGTGTTCTGAAATGTTTAGTTCACGGAGGACTTCAGCACAAAGGTTCCTAGGCAGAAAACGTTTCTTCACATCAATCCCAAGAGGGAGCTTAGTTAATAAAATCTGTTCAAGCCAACTGGCTCCACTGAGCTCTCCCATCCCATAGGGCTGGATGCTCTGCCTGGGGCAAAGACACACTAGAGGAAGCAGTCAGCTCATTCTCCTAGCGAAGGACAGTGGGGAAAGCTTTTCACTCCTCTCTCCAGGGAGCAACCCATTGGCAGAGCTCGCTGACGCTTCTCCAGGGAGACCAAGTGAACCTTTCAAGGCTGAATGTTTTGTAACATTCTTTACAAGGCCTACTGAACCTCTCAATATCTGTTCTCCAATGGGCACAACTATTACATTCTACTTTTAATAACATGACCATCATATTATCAGAGTTTCTGAAAATAAGAGAAAGCAAACAAAAAACCCATCATATCTTTGCATGGAAAGGAAATATAAAATACAAATAAAAATAAATATACATGAGAAACTAATACGTTCCTCTGCTCTAGAATGCATTGCTAGTGTTATATTTATTGCACAGCAGGGGCCAAGTCCTGCTTTGCTGTACACAAGTATACACAAGTGGTGGTTTTGCTCCCCCAAGTCGCTCACCTGAATCATATACATTTCTTACACCTGCCCAGGCCATGTGCAGAACATACCCACACCACCTCCAGATGATCCAAAGATCCCAGATGGATCCAGTTTGCCAGACAGGATAGCTCCTCCTCAGCCAACGCATTCTGCAGTGCACAACCCATGCCCAAGGTTGGTATTAGTCCCATAGTAAAGACTTCCCCTGCCCTCCTGTCCCCTACAAGCAGAAAACATGATGGAGAAACCCTGAGCCTGATAGCATCTTTTTCATTTCCTTCTCAATACTGAAGAGAAAAGATTTAACTACAGATTAATACTATAAAAAGGAGCAGGTAAGAACACATGCATTAGATCAAGTTGTACGTAAAGGGAGAAAAAAATACATTATGTAGTATAGCCTCACTTTCTAAGAATTTCCATCAAAAAAAGTTCCATGACAAACCACTGTTATACGCTTAGGTGTTTATAGAGGAACCACAAAAATGTGATTGAGGTTATGAGTTTGCATACCACAGTTTTAGCAGAGGAACCCATATTTCACCTGCTTTTCATTAATTTGTTTTAATTAACTTTCATGAAAATCACTTCAGCAATTTAGCATTTTAATGAAAACAAAGTACACAGGCTTGGGACACTTTCTGCATGAGCTGAAATTAAAATAATCTAATTTCTTTGAATACTTTGGGGAATTACCTGGAGCATCAGTGAGAGCTCCACTCTGAGTCTAACAGTGCGAAGACCCAGGAAGGGAGAAGAGGACACAGCTGCAGCAGTTCATCTATACCACACCAGTTGCTAAGAGTCAGACCGCTGCGCTGGGACCTGCAGCAGTTCCTCTGAAGGACAACATGCACAGAGGTGTCTGCTTGACACCAGAGATGCTTGGCCACTGGATGACCCCAGCAATTAGACTTAAGAGCACTTTTCTGTTCTCACTCGCTGCTGCTGCGGCCCAGATACCGCCCAGTGCATCGGCTACCATGGTGCTTGTTCTTGTGATGCTTATGTTGGCATGATTGGGGACTTCATCCTTTTGGATGTGAGAGGAAAATCCAGTCCTTTATCTATTTTTACAGTCACCATGCTGAGTGGAACTGGGGGTTGAATGTACTTCTAAAGCAAGACCCTTAAAAGCAACAGTAAACACAGCCCAGACAAATCTCTATGGACTAGAAATGTGAAAGTCCCAGTTTTAACTCTGCATAAGGAATGGACACTTCTCCTCAGACTTCTGATTCAGTTCCACATGCCAAATTTGTTATGATGTAATCAAGAGTAACTCCACTGCTATCAGCTGTCAACAGACTTCCTCCAATCATGCCAGCACCAAATTTGGCCCCAGAGCTGGGGAGCCCACAAGCTTGCATCAACAGCAACTACAGCAGCTATTTTAAGCTGGATAGAGTTCTTACTGGTTTAGATGCTCTAGGATTACAAGGTCATAAACCTATGCTATCAAATCCACACCGGCGCTCTGAGCCAGACTTTGCCCTTTGATGCATGCATCCAACTGCCATTGAAACCGTTGGACGCCAAGCACATCTGAAAGTGGAGTACTGCCCATACGGTTTAAATTGGCTTAATTCCTCTAGTACATGCAGCCTGTTGCTCCACATTGTATTTATTAGACAGTTTCATTTGGGTTTTTTACTTGTTTATTTTGTGCGCTGAAGGCTTTTTGCTGCCCTGCTTAGTATTCAGGGCTTAATGTTATTTCTGATTTGAATAAAACACATCTTATTATTTAACTGAGCTTAGAAATGCCACATCACCCAATGCACTCTCTGTGGTTTAGACGTATTTTAGCATATCTATCCAAAGAATCATAAAATAAATACAGCAAGATGTAGTGTTAACTGGTCTCTCCTCTGAGTGCTACAGCCATGTCTTTCCTTATAATTGATTCCGTACTTACGAAACTAAAACTACTCGAGTACTACAACACTAATGGATCAATTCTGAAAGTTTGTGATTAACTATAACCAAACCCTAGTGTTGGAAAACAGTGACACAATTCTTCTAACCTCAATCTTTCAAAATTATAGGAGATTTAAATATATGCATGTACACCTACATAAGTACATATATGCACGCTTCTGCAGTTCTTTAACTTCCTTTCTTCTGTCAATATAAGGGTTTTCATTTCAATGCCTTCTCTGCCATTTTTAAGGTTGTAAATGGT